ACACTGCCCTACCCACTCCACACTCACACACACTACACTGCCCTACCCCACTCCACACTCACACACACTACACGGCCCTACCCCACTCCACATTAACACACACTACACGGCCCTGCCCACTCCACACTCACACACTCTACACTGCCCTACCCACTCCTCACTCACACACACTACACGGCCCTACCCACTCCACACTCACACACACTACACGGCCCTACCCACTCCACACTCACACACACTACACGGCTTTCTTCTTTCAAGACTGCCCTTGCTGGCCTCCTCCTCGCCTTTCTTCTTCTATTCGTGCCCATTGTGCTTTTAATAAGAACGGCCCCCATAGCCTCATATATTTTAATGCTTAACCACCAGGAACTAGAACTCTTTGAGAAGGATTAGGAGATGTATTCGTTAGGGTTTCCATTGCTGTGAAGAGACACCATGAACATTTCACTGGGCTTGCTTACAGTCTCAGAGGTTCAGTCCGTTATCATCACGGTGGGAAGCATGGCAGCATGCAGGCAGGCCTGGCACTGGAGAAGGAGCTGAGAGCTCTACTTCTTGATCCTCAGGCAGCCAAAGTAGACTGTCACACTGGGCATGAGCACAGGAGATCTCAAAGCGTGCCCCCCACTCTTCAACCTTCCTCCAACAAGGCCATACCTCTAATAGTGCCACTCCCTATTAGCCAAACACTCAAACGCACGAGTGTATGGGTTGGGGGACATGCCTATTCATCCCACCACAGAAGGTGTGGCCTAATCATAGGAGGAAGTGCTGCTGGGGGTGGGCGTGTCTGTATGCCTTCTGACTAGTTTCAGTTATGATTTATTATGGTGATTATTAGTATTGTCCCCTGCTACCATATTCAAGTATCTTCTTGTCTGTGGTAATTTTAGTTTTCCAGTATACCCTGTCTTCATGATGCCCTTACTGTTTTCATAACAGTTAAATGCAGTAGGATTCTCATGTTTCAGAACATGCCCTAACATTCAAGAACTGATGGTGCATGTAAGCGGAGGTCAAGTTAGAGAGCCAAGGTTTCTACAAGTCTGTCTCTTCTGATACGTGTATTCTATAGAGGTTCTCCAGCTGAAGGTAAAGCAGTCACATTGGCCACTGCTCTTTGTAGCTGAGCCAGGGCTCCGCTTCCTCAGCTCTGTCTTGTCGAAGAAGTAGGAGTGTTACTAGTCTGTCCTCACTTTGCTTCATTTGTTTGTTTGTTTGTTTGTTTGTTTATTATAGCCCTGGCTAGCCTGGAATTCTTAGACCTCCTGCCTCAGCCTCTCTGTTACTGGGATTGCAACTATATACCACTGGACCTGACCAGTTTTTAATGCTTTTATTCTTCAGAAACACAGAGAAATGAATCCTAAAGCCTTTTCATCTTGGCCTTCTTTACATTTCCAGGGGAATTCTATCACAGATGATATTGGGATGTCGACCTGGAAGGAACAGACTTTCCTGTCCCATTGCGCCTTGCTGGCCAAGAGCTGCCAGGCTGCCATGGAGCTAGCAAAGCATGATGCTGCCATCCAAGACATGGCGTTTCAGTACGGAAAGCACATGGCCATGAGCCACAAGGTACTTGCACACCCTGGCTTCTGCATGTACACAGACAACCGTTGGCACTTAATATGTTGCTTTTATATCTTGAAAAATGTTTATTGTGTGAGTGAAATACGTCAGTCAGTGACAGTGGTAGTTACAAAAGCAGTACAATTGGCAAGTACTATATAATTTTAATGTTTACATTTTCTTACCACCTGAAAGAATTCTTGAACTAACTCTTCGAATTATTAAATAACATGTAATATCACTCTCACAGAATGGTAGACTATTTTTTATTTTTGTTACAGTTCCCTTGTAAATCCTATGTTAAACAAATATTGAAAAGTTAATAAAATTTGAAGGTATACTGTATAAAGTTGAAAGCTTCAATTTTAATTCATGATTTAATATTTTTAATCAAAGCTGGAGCATAGATTTATTAAGAAAAAGTGAGAACACTCCCAAGAGTAGGAGAGGCTAGAAGGGACGGATACTTTAATAACTCATTCTTTTCAATGACATGTAAAATATAAACCATCAGCAAACCAGCTGCTTTGTGGTTGCCTCTATTTAACTTACATTTTTCAGTTACCTAAGGACATCTAGAGTGACATAATAGAAAAACTCTGTCTCAAAAAAAAAAAAATCGGGGGCTGGAGAGATGGCTCAGCGGTTAAGAGCACTGACTGCTCTTCCAGAGGTCCTGAGTTCAAATCCCAGCAACCACATGGTGGCTCACAACCATCCGTAATGAGATTGGATGCCCTCTTCTGGTGTGTCTGAAGACAGCTACAGTGTACTCATAAATAAATAAATAAATCTTTAAAAAAAAAAAAAAATCAGTTACATACTTTCAGATGTTACTTAATTCATTCTTGTCATAAGACAGGACTACATACATGTTTATATGTATATGTGTGCATGTATATATTTATATATACACATATGTATATATAACATGTGTCTTAGTTGGGGTTTGCATTCCTGTACAAAACACTGTGACCAGAAGCAAGTTGGGGAAGAAAGGGTTTATTTAGCATACACATTCACATTGCTGTTCATCACCAAAGGAAGTCAGGACAGGAACTCACACAGGGCAGGAACCTGGAGGCAGGAACTGATGCAGAGGCCATGGAAGGAGTGCTGCCTACTGGGTTGCTTCCTCTGCCTTGCTCAGCTTGCTTTCTTATAGAACCCAGGACTGCCAGCCCAGGGATGACATCAGCTACAATGGGCTGGGCCCTCCCCCACTTGATCACTAATTGAGAAAATGCCTTACAGCTGGATCTCATGGAGGCATTTCCTCAAGGGAGGCTCCTTTCTCTGTGATAACTCTACCTGTGTCAAGTTGAGACACAAACCCAGCCAGTACAACATGTGTTTATATGTGTGTGTGTCTATGTCTGTGTGTGTCTATATATGTATGTGCCTGTGTTTAGATGTGTATGTGTCCATGTCTGTGTGTATCTATATGTGTATGTGTGTCTCTGTGTATATATCTGTGTGTAATTTCCAGATGAGATATTTCATATTTTGTCAAAACTTGGATTTCCTTATAAACTAGTTGTGTTTATTATTTCTTTCTTTAAGTCTCTACATTTAATTTAAAGTAGAAGGGGCTGAGGATGTGAAGATTGTTGCTATGTCATCCAGAGTGTGCATGTGCTCATTAAATCCCATTAAAGTGCATGGAAACGCTATGTACCTGGTACTTCCTGATTGATACGTCGTACTCATAACTCCTCTGACTCTCCTTTAGATAAATTCTGACCTCCAGCCTTTTATTAAAGACAAGACCAGTGACTCTAAGACTTTTAACCTAAACTCAGCGCCTGTAGTCTTACATCAGGAGTTTCTTGGAAGAGATGTGTGGATGAAGCAGATCGGAGAGGTAAGTTGAGATCACGCCTATGTTTGATACCATTATAGTTGATCCTAGAACAAAATCCCTAGTTCATGCTGGTTTAAAGATATAGACCATCCATTAAAAAAAGCCTTTTCTTTACAGATGAGACTCTTTACAATCTACATGTTTCAGAGGTAAAATATTAGTTATAAGCTAGAGGCCACACTTATGTCTGAGTTTGTAGACTATCATAACACAGCACTAGTGCCTGTTGAGAATGCTAATTAACTTTGGGGATTTTTTTTCTAACGACTTTCATAAATGGGGCCTGGTAATAGCACCACCCTTTAACTGATGGCAGTTTCCCATCTGGACGGCAGCGCGAGCTACAGAATAACATGAACTCCGTCTGTCAGCTCATTGGGTTATTTTAAAACAAGCTTGAACCTGAAACACCCATTTTGAGACATTATCAAAGCCAGAAGGGTGGGGGAACTTGGAGAAGTGGGAAGAGTAAGGGGCGTAGATTGGGTAAATTTCCTACACTTGGGGAACCCTGGGCAGATTACAGGGAACTATTTGGTTTATCTTAGTACAGAAATTCTGGTATAAAAACTTCCTACCTTTTCCTCTAGAATCTTGTGGTATTTATTTAACTTCATGGTTGTAACTGGTTTTTTTTTTTTTAAAAAGTTTTCAAACTGAGCATATCTTTTTTTTTTTAAATAATTTATTTTTTCTCAAATCGTAATTCATTCACACAGGGGCTATAAACACAGAAAGGCAGGATGTGGGGAAGGGAATGACACTGGAGTGTGGGTGTTCAGGGGGAATACAGATATCTTCAGAACCGGGTATCGGCTGGGTGAAGGTTCAGGGGACAAGTCACTATGACGATGCCTATGACTCGCTTGTCCTTATCTAAGTTGGTATTGTCTGCCAAGGCTACCTATTTACAAGGTCTATGACTACTCAGGCTTGTATATTTCCACAAAAGCTGCCTGTTTACATTAGCTTATAGCCATCTGCTTCAATGTTTTTCCACTAAGACCCAAGACTTGGTGTTAGTATACATATATGACAGGCCTATTGCTGATTTTAGGCCTATGGCTGATTTTAGGCCTTCAGTGTATAAGCAGGGATGCCCCTGGCATCTCCTCCCTTCTCTAAGTATAGAAGGGCTGTGGCAATTCTAATCTTATGAAGGCGGGGATAGAGGCCTGACCTCCAGTACTTGAAGGGGACCTTGTAATGGCTCCAGTCCCCCTGTCTTTGTCCAGTGAGGCATGAGGGCCATACCCATCCCGATGTCTTTTTCCTGGAGAGGGGATACTTTTGACATCAACCCCTATGCATTCAGGATTGTCCCTCAGGGAACCCAGAGAAATATTTTTATCTTTTATTTATATTCCCTTGCAGTGCTTAGCCTCGCAGCCTAAGCAAGAATTCAGATTGCCTGTCAGAGGGAGTTCTGGGTGGCCCCTCTCTGCTTGGTCCCCCCTTTTAGGTTGGGTGGAGATAGGTTTTGGAAATACCCTGTATAAAGTAACAACCACATCTTGAGTCTCGTGATCCTCCATAGCTAACTTATGATAATGTATCTGAGTAGGTTTTGCTACCAAATTATTTATCTGTTGTATCACAGAGTTAGTCAGCCTATTTGAGGGCCAGGGACCAGCAGAAATAAGCAAAAAGAACCCAAATAATGGTCCCAAGATGGGAGGAAATAGGGTTGACAACCTAGGAGAGGCTGAAAACCAATTTTTTTTTTCAATCCTTTTGTTTTGTTTTTTTGGTTTTTTTTTTTTTTTTTTTTTTGGTTTTTTTCGAGACAGGGTTTCTCTGTGTAGTCCTGGCTGTCCTGGAACTCACTCTGTAGACCAGGCTGGCCTCGAACTCAGAAATCCGCCTGCCTCTGCCTCCCAAGTGCTGGAATTAAAGGCGTGCGCCACCACCGCCCGGCTTTTTTTTTTTTTTTTTTTTTTGAGACAGGGTTTCTCTGTGTAGCCCTGGCTGTCCTGGAACTCACTGTATAGACCAGGCTAGCCTCAAACTCTCGAACTCAGAGATCCGCCTGCCTCTGCCTCCCAAGTGCTGGGATTAAAGGCATGTGCCACCACCGCCCGGCCTGAAAACCAATTCTTGTACCAGCATTCATCTGTCTCTTTCTCTCTCTGATTTTTCTTAGGGCCTTCACTGACCTATTTCATGCTCTCTTTAACCCTCCTTGTCTTGTCTATGTAAAGGCAACCTTCTTCTTTAAGGGCTGTACACAGTTAAGAGCTATACACAGCCTTTTCTATTGTAACTGGTATTACTATACTGGGTCTGTAGACGTCGGAATGGTTCCAGGCATAGCTGAGGGTGGGAATTTAGGGGTGGCATCCTTTTGGCACAGCGCCTCAGTGACTTTCTGAAAGATAAAGTTCCCCCTCTCCTAACCCTCTTCCTGTACTGACTCCCAAAAATGCCAGCAGCCAGCTCAAAGTCCCTCATAGTCACCAAGAAGAAAACTGGAAGATTCATTCTTAGGAAGCTGCCAGGCCCCAAGGAAAAGAATGGCAGAGGTGGCAGTGTGGGGTCCCTCAGTAAACATCCCTTGGACACTCATCCACAATGACCGGTCTTAGCATGTCCACGACAGAATCTCTAGCTGCCTCGCCCTGGAAAAGGGTGTAGGACAGAGGACAGCAGGCCGCTGAAAAAAGTCTATGTCGTCAAGGAGAGAGTCTGAAGCAAACTGACAAAGGGAAGTGAGAGGAAGCGGCCGTGCAAGGAAGCAGACGATTTTAGACACACTGTGTGCAATAGTGAACCTAAGAAACTGGCCCAGGTGGTGTATGAGGAAGGACAACCCCAGAACAAGAAACCAGATTATAAAACATAAAGAGTATTAAGAAAAGAAATGTGTGAGGCTGCAGAGGTGGCTCAGTGGTTAAGAGCACTGACTGCTCTTCCAGGGGTCCTGAGTTCAATTCCCAGCAACCACATGGTGGCTAACAATGATCTGTAACTTTTGTTCCAGGAGATCTGATGCCCTCTGCTGGCCTCTGGGGTCACCAGGCACACAGGCAATGCACAGACACACATGCAATCCAAGTGCTTGGATATAAAATAAAAATAGATTAAAAATAAAACAAACCAAGCTTGGAACAGGCAACTAAGAAGCTGGACATGGGACTGCAGAGGTGGCTCAGTGGTTAAGAGCACTGACTGCTCTTCCAGGGGGCCTGAGTTCAATTCCCAGCAACCACATGGTGGTTCACAACCATCAGTAATGGGATCCGATGCCCTCTTCTGGTGTCCTTGAAGACAACTGCAGTGTACTCACATACATAAAGTAAATAAAATCTTAAAAAATAAAAACTGCAGCTTGGCATGGAACACACCATTTGTTCCCTATGCTCATGAGATGAAGAAGGAACATCTTGAGTTCAAGATCTGCAGGATCTCAGGAAAATTACCTTTCCTGTCTTCGTTTCCTGAGAGTCCGTAATATATATCCCATCAAGACAGGAGATGAGGCTGAGGGCATGGCTTCATAATCTGCACATAGCCCTGGGTTCAGCCCTAGCAGCATTAAAAAAAAAAAATACAGAGCGTAGGTAATTAGACACAGGCACGAGCAATATTACAACTACAGTAGCAGCACCAATTAGGAGTCTGAGGCACAGAGAGATTAAGTAATTTTCAAACTATTGCACAGTATATCCATGATTCAAACCCAAGCAAGTCAGCTACAGGATCAGTCGGATACTTCCCATACTTCACTCAGTGTCATGCTAGCAAGTCTTGGGCCAATGGCTATGTCTGCTGGCTCCACCTATAAGGCCCCTGGAGTTGGGAGACCCCCACTCAAACCACAGGAGAGTTCGACCATCCAGAATCACGCGAGAGACCGAACTTGCTGCAAATCGCAAAAGGCTTTATTTCCAGATTTCGGGGTATCAGTCGACTGAGGCCGATGCTCACAAGGGGAGCGTCGACCCCAAGGCTTGGGAGCAAGGGGTATTTAAAGGAGAAAACCGCAAACCAGGGGGGTGAAGGGGGAAATCAAAAAGAGGAACAATAGTTAGTCATAAACCAAGGTGGGGAGTGGGAAGCATCTTACACACGTCATAAACCGGGGTGGGGAGTGGGAAACATCCTGTATACATTCTTCTCAGGAACGTGACCTTAACCTAGCCCATTGTGGTCAGTCACTTCCTGGGGTGACTTGACCAACCTGTATTTGTAGTTCTGCTATTCTTTGTCTGAATGACCTGGCTGACTTGCCCCCTGGCTAATTCTTCAGGTGGCCAGCTAGTTCCTGGAACCTAGGCCTGTAAACCTGCCAACCTTAATTCAGATGATGGGTCTCAAGCTTCTCTATGAATTTTTTATATCCTTACACACCGGGACAAGAGGACAGAGCTCTAGGAGAAATCCTTTTCTTTTTAAAGTGTGTTTGTGTGTCTATGTGTGTGTGTGTGTGTGTCTGTGTGTGTGTGTCTGTGTGTATGTCTGTGTGTGTCTCTCTGTGTGTGTGTGTGTCTCTGTGTGTGTTTGTCGTCTGTGTGTGTCTATGTGTATCTGTGTGTTTGTGTGTCTGTGTGTGTAATATACATGTGTATTTATATGTGTGAGAATGTTGGTGTATGTCAGTGACGTTGCACACGTGGCACAGCCCACATATGTAAGTCAGAGGACAACCTCAGTGTCAGTCCTTTCACTTTGTTGGAAATAGGGAGGGTGTTTTGTTGCTCACCCAGGACTTTCTAGGGAGTGTCCTGTCTTGGCCTCCCATCTCCCTGTAGGAGCACTGGGATAAGAGATTACATCACTTCCTCTGGCTTTTACATGGGTCCTGGGGATCCAAGCTGGAGTCCTCAGACTTGCTGAGCCATCTGCCCTGTCCCTGGAGAAGTATCTCTAAGAGTAAAAAGTGGAACTGATAAGTTACATGGCTGACCATGTTGAACATTATAGATGGCCATGCATGGGCGTGCACCTGTAATCCCAGTGCTTGCAGGGAGAGCAGGAGTCCAAGGTCATTCTCAGCTATG